TACTTTGAGTAAAAACCTATTTTGTAAAAATTGATTTAATATTCCCCTGTATTTTGTAAAAACTTATTAAAATTTTTTTCTCACTAGATTAAAATGTGACAGCTTTATTTCATGATGGAATCATGGCAATTTTATTTTCATGTTTCACATTTCTGCTTGAGTTTGTATTTTATGATTAGAAAATGTTTTCATAATTTAACAGAAATCTGTGCCCTTCTTTTGTGGTGCTGGACATTGGACCAAGAGTCTTGTGCAAGTAAATGCTCCGCTTCTGGGCCACCTCCATCTTAGTGCTTGTTCTTAGAATGGCAGCCCCACCTAACTACTGCTCTGTGTTGTGTGGTAGCTGTGGTTGCTGTTGTGTTACCTTTGCCTAACACTTTTCTCCTAAAGTGCAGCTTCTTTCACAGCCTTTTATGTGTCTTGGCAAATTAATTCCAGAAACAAATGGATAACCTGAGGTATGAGTAAGTCTTACTTGATAGCCATACATGGCAAACAGCCTCCCTCCCTCCACAGAGCCTTGCTTTGTTACCAGGTTGGCCTTGGATTTGTTGTGTAGCCTGGGCTAGCCTCGGGCTTGCGAATCTTCTGCAGACTACTGTGTATTACTGCTGCCGATGATAAATAGGAGTTGGTTGAAGAGCTTGGTGGAGAGGCGTCCAAAGCATCATTTGCTGTTAGGATGACTTGGAGGACTGGCTAGAAAACGTGTCGTATCGTTGGTGGTTACACTTCAGAGCTCTGTTTCTTTTATAATTTGACTGATAGGAGCAGGGAGGTGTGGCAGACTTCCTCATGGTGACCTATAGTAGATACTTCATGCTTTATGGATGATGTGATTTCTGTTGCAGTCACTCTGCTGTTTAAACACATGTGTGGCTGTGCAAAGCTTTATTATCAATTCAGGCAAGCCATGGTTGTGTAGATTCCTTACATAGATGAGATTTCTATCTCTCCCTCTTTTGGTTTTTTTCTCTTGATTATCATTAGGCCTCAAACCCTGGACAAATGGCTAATGGAGGCGTCTATTTAACATACCAAAGCAGACTTATCTGACAGTTTGTCCGAGCATCCCTTAGTCCCTACCTGTTACAGACTATGGCTGGCATACCCCGCCCCCTACCCTAAATTTCTCCAGCCCAGTGGCTGGGCTGCCCTTCCCCCAGCGGCCCTTCCCTGTATAAATCAGCTATTTTGGTTACTTGCCCTTTTTTCCACCCTTTGCTTTCCTGGCGCTCCCCTCTCTCCTTCCCCAACTCTTCTCATGGCCCGACTCAGGGTCTTGTTCACTCTGGACTCTCCCAGATGTCCTTGCCACTGGCTGCACTCTCCTTTTTATCTACAGTAAACCCCCTCCTCCACCATACTTAAAAACAGTCATGTCCTTCCGTCTTACTTCTCTCTTCCTCTCTCTTCTCCCTTCCTTCCTTCCTTCCTTCCTTCCTTCCTTCCTTCCTTCCTTCCTTTCATTCATCTGGTGCTGAAACCTGGGATCAAACCAGGGACCTTCCACTGACAATTATTATTTTCAAGAATTAGACCAAGTTTCTTGGCAGAATGTGTGAAAGCTAGATTTAAAATTTTTTTTCCACATTATGTTTTAATGCTAAAAAATGTCCATGTGAGCGCTTAAAGATTCTTTCCACTGTAGAAATGGAAACCTGGCCCCTAGAAAAACATGCTGATGCACTGAAAAGCAAGATTTTCCACCCTCCTTCTCTCCTATCTATCTAATCCTCTCCAATGGTGGCTGTACATGCAGTATTGCTGCCTAGTAAAAGTAAAGCAAGCTTGCCGGGCGGTGGTGGCGCACGCCTTTAATCCCAGCTCTTGGGAGGCAGAGCCAGGCGGATCTCTGTGAGTTCGAGGCCAGCCTGGGCTACCAAGTGAGTCCCAGGAAAGGCGCAAAGCTGCACAGAGAAACCCTGTCTCGAAAAACCAAAAAAAAAAAAAAAAAAAAAAAGTAAAGCAAGCTGCTTCAGTGTATTCTCTTTTAGACATCATGATTTTTACTTGTAGACTGTTTTGTTCATAGACTATTTATGTTCATAAACTAACTTTTATGAACATAAAAGGTAGTGAAAATAACTTAGGTATAGGTACTGTAGTCAGATACCATGTGGGTGTTACCCGTAAAGTGAGATGGAGAGCGCTTTGCTGCAGGTAAACTCACTGTCACTATCACCTGAAGATCAGCTGGAGAACTGGGCAGAGTTCTTACAGAAATCAGTGCACAGCGGACCTGTTGGAAAGCTGTGACTTTCCACATGACATAGGAAGCCCGTGCCGTTTTCACAAGTTACTCTGTTTCTTAGGAGGTTAAGGGAATAGCTAAAGCGAAAAGTGTTTTATTGGTTCTGTGGAGTTTCAGGATTTGTTTTTGTATTTGTGTTTTCTTTAAATGTTTGGATGAGTATCTGTGATAAATAGATACTGTTCTGTCATCTTCTGTTTGAAGCAAGAGTTTTCTTCGTAGTATGCCTTGAATAACAGATGATACCTGTTTCAAGTTTATGAAATTTAAAATACAGCAGTGCTCAGCATAGAGTATACACAATGTTAGACCTTCTTATGTTTTTGTTGTTGTTTGTATTTTCAAACAGGGTCTTAGTCTGTAGACTAGGCTGCCCTCAGATTTCCCATCCTTCTGCCTTATCCCCGTGAAGGTATAAGCTGTCACATTTGGCCTTTATTACTGTTTGTTATTACATAGTTGCTCATCTATCTTGTCTGTTCACAGACTTGTCATCCGCTAAGCAGAGCTGAATGCATTGGCAGGTGTGATCTGAACAGGACCACTATACAGTGTCACTTACTGTGTTACTTTGGATCAAAGACACAGTTTGTTCATCCCTCCCGCTCTCTCTCTCCCCCCACTTCCCTTCCTCCCTCCCTCTCCCTTCCTTCCTCCTTTCCTTCCTTTCTCCTTTCTCCTTTCCCCTCTCCTCCCTTCCCCCTCCCCTCCCCTTCCCCTTCCTCTCTCCTCCCCCCTCCCCTCTTTCCTCCTTCCTCTTTCCTCTCCTTTCCTTTTTCCTTTTTTGAGACGGGAATCTCACTAGGTAGCTCCAGCTGGCCTGTAACTCACTATGTAGACCATGTTGCCCTCAAACTCAAGAGGTCCACCTACCTCTGTCTCTCAATTGCTGGGATTAAAGATGTACTCCATCATACTCAGCCTTCTTTCTTTTTTTTAAAAAAAAAAATCAGTTTGGACAATTTCAAACACTAAAAAGTAGGTGGACCACTGTGATCAATCAATCCTCAGCTACATGCCTGCTTCGGTCTCTAGGAAGATGGTCAGTGCTGTTTTCCTGCACACCTAGTTCTGTTTCTTTCTCTCCCATTATTGTAGCGCCCTGGTTATACCTAAGCTCCATGTCTAATGTATTTTGGTAATTGCTAGAGCTTTTAAGAGAGGGCCTTGTTTCTTAGCAAACAATGATTGGAATTATGGGCAACCCAGTCTTACCTTGGATTCATTCGTGAACTGACTTGTTCATTTTGCTTTTGAATGTGGAGAAAGCTGTGGGTGAGACTGGAAATAGATTGTGTCAGACTGGGTGTCATTCCAATGGATCCAGGGATCGACAGTGTCGTCCCTCCCAGCTGGCGAGATCTCTGACTAATCTGAGAGTGGTTTGGATTGGGGCAGAAGACTTGATGTCACTGATGTTTTCCATGCTCATTCTGTGCCTTTTAGTCACTTTGCCTGCATTAAGGAAGCAAAATTGGAGTTGGGAAGTTATGCTTTCATTGTCTCCCCACCCCACCCCACCCCAGCCTGTATCCTAAGCGGGCCTCAACTATGTACATACCCATACAGTTCTGTGTTAATGTTCACTGTGTCATCATGTTAAACAGAAATAAGATGTTTGAAGCATCAGCTCGGTGATGAGTCTTGGGGTTGAATTGTTGGGATGTTTCTGGTGCTTCGCTGGCTTCTAACTTATAAGACTTACTATGCTTCTGATTGGACAAAACAGACAGTTATTTATTCAAGAAATATTTATTGAGCATCTATATGCTGGGAAGTGCACTATACCTTGACTAAATAAAGAAAGGTAAACTAAACAGATATATTTTCCGTTAGGAGTTGCAGTCTACTGAGAAACAAATATATTTGGACCATAAAGGAAAACTGCTCAGTTGATACTTTAAGGACACAGCTTCTTTAAAGTGAATTTCAAGTGACTTTTTAATTATTTCTGTGAAAAGCTTCTGAGCACCCAAGGATTTGGGGTTACTGCATTTCTATGTGTATTTATGTGTAAAACCTGACTTTCCAGACTCAGGACAGTGCTAGCAAAAAAAAGACACTGAATGCAAATGAACTAGTTAATAAATGTATCTCTAGTGTAATTAGATTCCAGGATGCCAACAAGTAAATTGATTATGTGGATGAAATGGATGTTAGCTATTTTAAAAGAGCCTTTGCAGGTAGGGAAATAAAAAAGACCTTCAGCATTTGCCTTTGTCTTGAATGCTGGAGAAATGTGGGTGAGGAGGAGGATAGAGCAGATAAGAACCATGTGACCCACTACCACATCAGACTATGGGGCACTGTCTTTGTGGCTTTGGGAAGAAAACGTGCCTTAGACATTCTGTTCCTGCAAAGTAGAGCTAGAGGGCTGGATTTGGGGGCTCGTCTCTGTGTGTGAAATTATGTGATTTTAGTTCTTTTATTAAGGAGTTTCTTAAAACTTTGGTTGCTGGAACGTCAGAATGCTTTCTTGTTTTCTGAACTCATTCAAGGTTCAAGAATGAGAAGGTCTAAGATGGGAAAGGAGGCTTTGCTTTCTCTAACTGATGTTTTCTGACTAGGTACTTCGTAACTCAGGAAGACCTCATTTATTCCCAGTAATATGTTTTACTAAACTCTTTCAGGTAACTTTAAAAAGACTGTGTGACTTCATATATAGTAGATGATAACTTGAACTGAGTTTTTATTGGTTGTTGTTAGTAGAAAACTCCAGTGAGATCGCTCTCTTTGTCTCCAGTTACCAGAGACTGCTACAGACCATTGCTGTTCTTGAGGCTCAGCGTTCTCAAGCAGTCCAAGACCTGGAAAGTTTAGGCAGACACCAGAGAGAAGCACTCAAAAATCCTATTGGATTTGTGGAAAAACTTCAGAAGAAGGTACCAAAAAAATTTACTTTAGTACTTTTAAACATTTATTGGAGTATACTTGGTAATTTAAGATAATTGTTTCTTTTTCTGTGAATCTGCCTGTGCTTTGAGAGTATTTAATTCCACACGAGCCTCTTCCAGATTAATCATGTTACTGTGAAGGCAGCACCATCTTCTTTCCCTATCCAACACACAGTGCAGTTTGCCCAGATGAAGAGAACTGAGCTCGTATTGTTTGGACAAGAGCTGTTCTGCTCACTCTTCATCTGTTTTCCACCATCACTTCCTCCTCCTCCTCCTCCTCCTCCTCCTCCTCCTCCTCCTCCTCCAGGACTCAGGGTTAGTGGGACTCTGAGGCCTGGTGCAGAGGATTTATTAATTATTAACTGCTTTTGTTTGGGTCACATTTGCTACTGAGAGAAAAAGCAAATGTTTATAGAGACAATACAAAAATTTATTCTACACATGCTTAAGGCATAACCAAATCCATGAAGAGAAACTCTAAATTTCATTTAATTTTAAAAAAGGCTTTTTCCCCCTTAGTGTGAAACTAACTAGTTTTCTTTTATATTTGAAGCAAACTTAATGTTTAACAGTGAGCTGTTCAAATATACCCAATTGATCAAGATGTATACACACAAACACATTGTGGGGGTGTTGTTCTCTGGTACTAGAGATAGAACCAGACCTTGTGCAAGCGAGTGCTCTACTACCGCTGAACCTTGCTTAGTATGCTTGAAAGCCTCGGTGTCAGTGTTGTGTGAAAACATTAAACAGAATCTGTGAGGAGGGCCTCTCTTTGTGATGGACTCGAAGTGACGGTGAGATGTTGTCAGTGTGCCTTTCCTTTCTCTGCTTTCAGAAAACCTGCATTTCATATACATACATAGTCTGCATATTGGCTTATTAAAAACTGGTTGTTAGAGCTGTATTGTACCTTCTCCGTTAAATAAGGTTCCCCTTGGTCCAGCATGGTGGGGCAAATTTAGGATCCCAAAACTTGCCTGAAAAATGAGGCTCCTGAGTAGAAGGTCATCCTCAAACCTACCGATCAAATTTGAGGTCATCCTGTGCTACAAGAGACACTGTTTAAAAAATTAAAAACAACCCTAAACAACAAAAACCTAAAACCTTATAATAAATAAATGAAAAAAATCTCCTTTTATCATTATTAAACAGTTTGCTTGAACACAAAGACATTGTTTTTAAAATGGCAATTTTTGGCAGATTAAATTAAAACTGTTAGAGAAAGAAATAATAAATGTATTAACTTCAGTCTCATTTGTGTTCTGGTAAGCAAAATCATGCACTTAGGCACACTTACTAGATTTATATGCAGTTGACTGTTTGCTTGTTTTTCATTTTCAGGTTTAATTTAGAATTTTGTTTAAATTCAGAAACAGATGTGTTATTGAACATCTTAACTTTTTACAAAGATTAAATCCAGATACTCAATAAAGAGGCAAGGTTTATGTTGCTTAGAAAGACTTCTTGTCCTAGATTTAATTTAGAAGTTTCATTTTTTAAGATGTCATAATTTGGAGCAAGGGATGTAGCTATGGTGCAGGATGTGCTGTTTTGTACAAGGCCCAACACTGCCAGAAAGAAAAATTGTCATAAGTTTTATATGTGGCAGAGACTTATAGATTATGGATTCATTTTTTATTATGTTACCAATAAGCCACAAACTTGAGGCTAAATGTCCAAATGCATATGTCTCAGAGTCTCATCTGCTGCATTTAGCGCACGCGGTAGGTATGCTTGTTACTAGAGCTGACAGTGTTTGGTGTTTATGTGTGGAGTTGCTGCGGATGCAGCACAGTGTCTCTGTGTAGTTCGTGTTTAGCACCCTAGGCGTAGAGTTTACAGTGTGCCACTTGCATTTTTATTTTACCTATTATCTTCTTGAATTAAATGTAGATTGGCACTCTGATATTTTTATTTTGTCTTTTTTCCCAGGCCGATATAGGGCTTCCATACCCACAGAGAGTTGTTCAGTTGCCTGAGATTGTGTGGGACCAGTATACCAACAGCCTTGGGAACTTTGAAAGAGAATTTAAAAATCGCAAAAGACATACTAGGAGAGTTAAGTTAGTTTTTGATAAAGGTAAGAAGTTACATGGTAAGAATTGAATGAGGAAAATGACTTGCAGTGTCTTGCTTGAATAATTCTTTGTATGATTTTATTTTTAGTAGGCTTGCCTGCTAGACCGAAAAGTCCTTTAGACCCTAAGAAGGATGGAGAGTCCCTTTCTTACTCCATGCTGCCTTTGAGTGATGGTCCAGAAGGCTCCCATAACCGTCCTCAGGTAATTAGTGTGGAATATCTGAGTAGCATAAAAATATTTAACATTTTGTTGATTTGTGTTCTTAAAATGAGTCATTTACTGAAAAATAATAGGACCATAAACTTTCAAGGTAACCAGAAACCTAAATCTGCGTCCAAACTGCTAGATGTGACACTTTAGTTGTGTGTGTTCCAGTCTTCAGGTTGCAGCCTCTTATAAAATGGAGTTGGTATTGGTCACATTGTAGGGTCTCTCTGGATTTTAAATGGGCATTGTGGGTACTGTGCCTCGTACAGTGGCACTGTGGAGTATGATCAGGATTTCAGATGTGGCCTTGTCTCTGTAGGACTTGTTACTTTTCAGTTTTGAACCCACTTTTCTTGTTTCTAAAGATGATTTGCTATCATTTATGTATATGAGGATTGTTAAGTGTTTAAAACAAAATGAAATACAAGAATATGAAAAAAACATTTAATCAGCAAATAGGTGATGTATATATTAAAAAATATGCAAAGGTATTTTGGAAATTCTAAAACATTCCTTGTGTGCTCTTTGGTTATATACTTGATGTTTTCCATTTATCAGAAGCCTTTTTTTATATATGCAGATGATAAGAGGTCGCCTGTGTGATGACACCAAACCTGAAACATTCAACCAGCTGTGGACTGTTGAGGAACAGGTGATGCATACGTCTTGCTTGTTTGAGTTAAAAGACAGTCTAAACTGTTGCTAGTAGAATTAGCACCACCAGGCAGGTGTTTGCTGTTGCCCTGCAGTTCCTTGTAATCATGAGTTTAAAATACTTACTTTTATACACCTTTTTGCATACTTTAAGAATTTTGGATTTTGAAGGTGTATGAACTGTTTAAGGATAATTCTTAAAGAAAAACCCTGGGTTGGGAAGGATGCTAGAAATGGGTGGATATTCTTAAAAGCAGATTTGAGAGAAAAGCCTCAAGACAAGCAAAGATCCTTCAAATTGTGTTTTAATTTCTGTTGTCAGGGAGCTGAGAACCCAGATTGCCTGTGCTGAAGGCTGGTTTTGCCCCAGCTGTAATTGAGTGTGAGCTTATGTAATAAGTTTGGTTGTGTATCTTTAGGGTTTGTGTGAGTGTTAGAAGCTGAGTTTTAGTATCCAGTCAGATGTGTGAATGACAGATCACACACAAGAGGAAAGACTCTTGATATTGTAAACCCAGTGAACTGACATGGTTCTGTTAATGCTGCAGCAGGGATCCTCTGCACATTTGGGGCAAATATAGCTGGGGAGCTGCGGTCACTCAGATGTGTACCTCCTCGATGTGTTTCTCTTCTGTTTGCTTGTACTGCTTTGTCACTGAAGTGACTGAAAAGCCTGGAGGAGGGCTTCACAGGTGTTCTCGCTGATCTCATTTGCCTGTGGCATCTGAAGTTCCTAACTAGAACTGTTTTCTCCTTTGAGAATCTCTAATAATGTGAGCTCCAGAGTTGGGAAAGCAGCACTGTGCCTTGAATAAAATATGAATGCATTTATTTAGAAATCCAGTATTTTAATTGGAATACATTTTTTACTTAAAACTCGGTCTTGGGTTTGGTGCAGAAAAAACTTGAACAGCTTCTCCTGAAGTACCCTCCTGAAGAGGTCGAGTCTCGGCGGTGGCAGAAGATTGCAGATGAGCTGGGCAACCGGACAGCCAAGCAGGTGATGGCAAGGGCTGCAGCAGGCTGTGCCTGTAAAGGCTTTTTAGGGACAGTTCTGCAGTCATGCTGGCACAGTGGCTACCGTTGCTAGCTCTGGTGTGTGGAGGTTTTAAATTGATCAGCATAAGTCACCCTGCTTTGCATCAGTGCAAAACATTAAAACGTGTACAGTGAGTGTGCTGACACTGTCTTTTTGCTTAGACTGCGCCAGTGGGTTTGTGGCATCGCATTAATGTCATCCTGGTGTCTTCTGAACATGAACCCAGCAGCTTCCTCACGCCCATCTGTATTACCAATAGATGGGCTTCCTGCTGTGCTCACCAGTGTTCACCCGTGAAAATAAGGGTGTAGCTTTGAAATCACACAAATTTAAATTTACTTGAAATGATTTTGTCAAGATTTTAAAATACAGATGTCTTTGACCTTTTAAAAGTTATTTTTTGATTTGATTGTTATCATTTTAAACTTCACAAATATCACATCATTTCATTATATTAAAAGAACTGTTATGTTTCCTTAGGTTGCCAGTCGTGTACAGAAGTATTTCATAAAGCTAACTAAAGCCGGCATTCCAGTTCCAGGCCGAACACCTAACTTATATATATACTCTAAAAAGGTAAGGAGCAGAGACGAGCAGACCTTAGTTGAAGCTCATTGAATTCCCTCTTCACATAAAGGAAGTGAACATTACCTTCCTGGTGGATGCTAGTTTAAGATTTATTTTACTTTTTTAAATTATATGTCTGTATGTGGGTATGTGGACATGAATACTGGTGTCTACAGAGGCCAGAGCATTGGGTTCTCCCAGAGCTGGAATTTTAGGAGGTTGTGAGCCACCTGTGTGGGTTCTGGGAATCAAACTCAAACACTCTGTAAGAGCATTAAGTACCCTTAACACTTGAACCATCTCTCCAGCCCCATGGGTTTTTGAAGTTGTTTTTAACCAAGCTTTTCAAGCTTGTTTTAATTTGTTAATTGTTTTAAGTACTAATGGTATATACAGCTCTTATAGCCTTGGAATGCTGGAACCTTGCACACCAGTGTTCAGACTAACAGCTATACTTTTCATGGTTATTATCCCCCCCACTGCCAGTGCTGTGGGTCATTCCCAGGGCTTTATTTATGCTAGGCAAGTGCTCAGCCACTGAGCTATATCCCCAACCCCTTAGTTAATTTTTCTGAATTGATTTTATTAATGTGTGTAGTCTGTTGTAAGTTCACAGACACTGTGGCTCTGGAGGTCTAGTGTAGCCACAGTCATAATGGTCCTGGCCCTGGGAGAGTTTGAAATGGTTGAGATGATGGCTCCCCAGTGGTTCTTCACGCCTGGGGTGCGTTCTGGTCATGAGTGGTGTCTGCACCAACTCTGCCATCATCTAGCTACACTGCCCTCACCACAAAACTCAGCCTCCTCATGCCTGTTCTTCATCTCTAAAGATGACTTTGTAGGGATGTTGTGAGGGCTCAGTGATACTGTTAGGTGATTGTTTTTCAACACTCAAATATTCTGGCAACTTCTCTCTCACTGGACAGTTACTAATCTGACTTAGGCCATTTTATTCTCTGATTTTCAGTATAAGGCGATCATAAGAGTTCAGTGCATGCGTGTTTTTGTACTTTTTCACTGTTGCAATAAGACATATTTTCTCACGTAGTCTTCAACAAGCAGACGACAGCACCCCCTTAATAAGCACCTCTTTAAACCTTCCACTTTCATGACATCACATGAGCCACCAGTATATATGGATGAAGATGATGACCGGTCCTGTTTTCACGGCCGCATGAATACTGCTGCGGAGGAGGCATCAGTAAGTTAGTTACCTGTTTCTATAGAGATGACTGTGCATCATGAGAGTACATGATTTTCTGATTAGTCCTTCTCTTCAGAGATTGCTGATGTATCCTCTTTTCAACAACAAGTCAAATGTAAAGTTAATATGCTCTGCTTTTCATGAAAAAAAATTCAACATATGCTTAAGTAGTGAGAACAGCCCAGAGAACCCACATTCTGTCACTCAGCTGTAATAATTGTCACCTGGCAGTAGTCTGGTTTACGTGTCTTCCCCCTCAGCTCCACTTCAGATTGTTTGGAGGGAGTTCCAGACACCAAGCTCAGGGTTTTTTTTTTTTTGTTGTTGTTGTTGTTTGTTTTTTGGGTTTTTTGAGACAGGGTTTCTCTGTGTAGTTTTGGTGCCTGTCCTGGAACTCACTCTGTAGACCAGGCTGGCCTCGAACCCACAGAGATCCGCCTGCCTCTGCCTCCCGAGTGCTGGGATTAAAGGCGTGCGCCACCACCGCCCAGCTCAAGCTCAGGTTTTTGAGGAGCTAACTCTTCGTGTAATGGAGTCTCTAGTTGCCTTAGTCATTTCACGACGTGTGTACAAACGTGCTCAGGGCCCTGTGCACATTAGGCAAGCACTCTCCCAGCTCGATCTGTACTCACAAACTTGGGGTGGTCTAGACGTGTTTGTTTGGATCCAGAGAATGGCAGTAAATTGGGGTGGGGGTGAAGAACCCCCTTCATTTTCTTTGCCCTTACTGCTTACACTGAAAGCTGGGTGGTTTGTGCACAGATGTGCCACAATGTGGATATGTCCGCTGCGTCCCTCTGTGTCATTTGACTTGTTCCTGTTGTGAATTTCCTGGGAAAGGGTTGATTCCTTGCTTGGGGAATGTGTCACAATACTCTGATTGCATAGAATCATGACAGGAGATTTTAATGGAAAGTTAGCAAGAAACTTTGTTCTGTCTCTTAAATAACCAGGTAGTGGTTGTATTGTTGAGTTGTTTTTCCCTTTGAACTTGTCTTCTGGAAATACACGTGCTGAGTCTTGAGGTACATCTTTTATCTGTGATTTTGTACTTTGTGATAGAATGATTCATCTGACGAACTGTTTACCTAAATGTGTTATGTAAGGGATTGTGCTAGAAACTGTGAACATACATATGTCTTTGTTTTTCTATCTTGGGCTTGTTAACTGATCACATCAGTAAGCAGTTGTTAAAATGCGTCAGAGGCGTAAAGGGAGTGTCCATAGTCACTTAAGAGGGAGCCCTGAGAGAGTGACTACAGGGCAGCCATGTGAGGAGGGGTCGGGCAGAACATTTAAAACGAGCATTCAGTGGTCATCATTTGGGGAGTATGTGCAAGGTCCTTGATTCATTTCCCAGTACCAAAAAAAAATTATTTTTAAGTTGACAATGTAGTAAATTAAATTAGATTTGATTTCTTATCTCTCTGTATAGCCTAGGAAAGTCTTAAAATGATAATCCTCCTGCCTCAGCATCCTCAGAGCTAGAATTGCAAGCATGTATTACCTTGCCCTTCTGATCTACATAGCTGTTTTAAAATGTGTATTTATGAATCTTCTGGTGGTAACATGTGTAGGTTTCTCTTTCCAAAGACACAGCAGCTAAAGAAATTACATGTGCATAATCTACTCCTTAACCTCAGCCTTATTGAAATTAGCCCTTTTTAAGTAAAATTGAAATATGGTAACTCAGAACGCTATTGAGTACACAGTTGAGTAGTGTTAATAAGTCATTAGTGTTACTGTACAGATTCCAAAATCCTCCCCACCCCACTTCCTGGTACTGAGGCAGACAGCGTCTCCACGCTCCTCCCAGCTCCTAGTGCCCACCATCGTTCCCTGTCTGTACAGATGTGACCAAGTGGAAGCACACAGGCGGCTTCCCTCACTGTAGGTCTTTCTGTGGCTATTGATTTACCCATCTGCAGAGTGAACAGCTGTTTGGAAGGAAAATACCTGTACCAAACGTGCAGACTGTGAGATGGAGGAAAGAGGCTGTAGTGCAGTGTGAGACTGAAGACTCTTTTCTCTAGCTGAAGACCTTGGCACTTACAGAGGAAGCTGCAGAAAGTTTAAAGGGATGGTGGGAATGGATACCAGATGACAGATTTGAGAAAATGTGACGTGCACGAGAAAACTTAAGACTTCTGTCTTAGGCAGCTGGATATATTAGGAAAGTAAGGGTTCAAGTCATCCACTCATTAATTTCACTAATTAATTGTATGATCTGGGATAGTTGTTACAATTTCTATCAGCATCCGTTTCCTGGATGTGAGATACACACAGTAGTTAATGGTACTTACCATGACAGAAGGGTGAAGGAGGGGGGATTTCTATCTGGTCCGGGATTGAGTTAATGGAACCCGGGGCAGTGGCTTGAGGGTATATTTAGGAAACTAGTGGTCATGGGATCAGATATTCAATTGCAAAGGATCCTCGGTAGCAGGGCAAGATTAGGAAAATACAAAAGCAGGATAATGAGTAGAAATCTCAGTAGGCTTTTGAAAACCAGTTTGAGGTGAGCCAGCAAGAGAGATGGAAAGGAGCAGTGAGAGAGGCTTGCGGCTGATGTTTGGAGCAGACCACACTAGTTGAAGACAAGGTCCAGTGTGTAGCTGTTAGAGTGGGAACCAGGGAAAGACTGGAGGGAAGTCACTGTAGTGGAGCGGACATAGAGAGCAGAGAGATCACAACAAAGGACTGGACACTGAGGGGCTTAGCATTGCCCCGCGTTAATGAATGGTCTTTGAACCACAGGGTGTAAAATCCAGCAATGATTCCTCCAACCCTGAAACTGACCAGCAATTTCATTCAAAAGCACCATGCAAAATCTGTGTGCTCTGATTCCTAAGGTGTTTTATGAGCGTCTTGAAGTATTTATATAATCCACACTGTTTTCTAAATAGTCAGTGTAACTCTGTTCATCTCCTTGAGTGAAAAAATATACTGTTTTTAGTCAGTCATTGCAAATACAGAATATAAAACAAGGGCAGAGATTGGTTTGCTTGTTTAAAAAAAATGATACCATGTTTACAGAGGTAAATGTGAAATTTATTAGGCTAGAAAAAGGAAATTACTACAGACTAGGGAAGGCTACCATGGAGCTTCTGAAGTAGGCCTGGTGACATTGGGTTTTCGTCATTGTGTGACAGAGGTGCCATCACAGCGTATCTCCTCACGTGGTGAGGCAGTGTAGTTCAGCCTTGGAATAGCACTTAATGAGAGAGACGGCTCCTGTGTCAAGTGCTTGGTGCATAAGCACGAGGACCTGACTTTGGATCCCACACCAGTGTGAACAACTGGGCCTGATGGCATGCCGTGCAGCCCAGTGCTGGGCAGCAGAGATGGAGGTTAGTGCAGCCCGGCTGCCAGAGTCCGGTTGCATTGGTAAGCGCACATACCAAAACACAGTGGTAGTCATTGTCTGAGTCTTAAAAGTGAGAATGTCAGTAGAAAAGTATTAGTGTTGTGTTTCTTACACCTAGTCCATTTTAATTATCACACTAACACTTTTATATTTTGTCCTTTTTAACAGGATGAGGAAAGCATTCCTGTCATGTATAGGAGTTTACCTGAATATAAAGAACTATTACAGTTTAAAAAGTTAAAAAAGCAGAAACTTCAGCAAATGCAAGCAGAAAGTGGGTTTGTGCAACATGTGGGCTTTAAGGTGAGCAACTCGATCTAATTTTTAAAAGAGTGAATAGGGGTATTCACTCTTTCAACTCTGAAATCGATAAGCATTCATTCAGGGAAAGGGTAGTAAGTTTCTTGGTAATTCTTTTATGCATACATGCAAAGTTGTGGGTGTTACAGTCTCTGTTCTGTGTGGAGAAGAGAACACACAGTTGTCTTATCATGTGCAGTAAACTGGGATGAAGTTCATCTGCTGCTCCCCTAGTCCCAGCTATCCATGAACATACTTCCCGTTTCCCGTTGAGTTGCCTCATTGAGTTTCAGGAGGCTGATAGAGGATCCATTCATTGCACACTTTCCAGATGCTCTCCTGAATGCTAGAGGCTGGGGAGGGAAAAGAGTTGGACTCAGTTCCTTCTTCCCCAGTTTTCATCTGAGCAGAGTCAGGTGGATCTCTGTGAGTTTGAGGCCATTCAGGGCTATGTAGTGAGATTGTCTTAAAAATAAAATAAAATCAAATCCTTGAGATGTTAAATAAAATAGCTGAGTATACCTAAAGAGCACATAAAAGTAGTCAGTGGATATGTGAAGTCAGGGGTTTTTTCTAAGGAGTTTAAATAATGGAAGATTTTAGAACAGAGAATAACAGGAAATTTGCATTTCAAGAAAATGGTTTGCTAACTTTCAGAAAAGCATCCGGTTTAAACTTCACAGTTCATCATTCACTGTTACTAAATATTGTAAAGCAATTTATTCATGTATTTTAATGCAGTTAAAATATGTAAGTGAGGTGGGGCCAGAGATAATCTGGCTGTAGTGTGAGAACTAGATTAGAAGAAGGTAAGAATAGAGATGGGCAACATCTTGGAGACTGTGAGGAGTATATGAAAGTGTGTCCTACCTGAATTGTCTGAGAGCACTGTGAAGATAGACGGCAGCCATTAGAAGTGGCCGCACTTAGTGAGGTTGGAGGAAGTTCAGCAAGGCCATAATGTAGTGTTGCTGTTGGCTGTGTATATAGATGTGTTGATGCATGCTGTGACTGTTGCAGGTCTTTGGAGTAGCCCTTTCCTTTTGACCCTTCAGTGACCTTACTCATCCTTAAGAGATTTTCCTAATTGGCTTCTAGATTTTTGGAGAGGAAACTGAGTCTTCAGCCATGGCGTGTTGGGCATTGTGTCATCAGATAATCTAGAAATGAGATTTACTCTATGTCTTAGTTACTGTTCTAGTGCTGTGAAGAGACACCATGACAAAGGAAACTCTTATAAAGGAAAGCACTTAACTGGGGGCTTGCTTATAGTTTTAGAGGGTGAATCAGACAGGTATGGTACCAGAGCAGTAGTTTCGAGCTTTACATCCTGATCTGGGGGCAGTGGTCAGAAAGATACTAGGGTAGACTTGGGTTTTGAAACTCAAAGCCCACCTCCTAATCCTTCCCAAACAGTTGCACCAACTGGGGACCAAGCACTAAAATGTGTGAACCTATAGAGTCAATTCTCATTCAAACCACCACACTTTGATTTCCAAAATTCCACCCTGAGGGTGCACTGAGGGGGTCTTGTAATGCATTACCCTATGGAGAACAAGCTGTACCTTTCTTCTTGTCCTCATAGGCTTTCTTCTCAGGGGTTCAGTCTGGGGACTGTCCAGAGAGGAGTTGGATGCCATCTCGGTGTCTACCAGGACATGCCTGGGCAGCTCTAGGTCTTGTTTGAGTGAATCAGGTGTTCACAGTCACACACTGGTTTCAAGTGGATGGTTGGCAAAATGCCCAAGTTGAAGGTGATTGACTTAAAAACTTCTTGGTTATACATAGGTTATTTCTCATCCACCAGTGATCTGATCTTGCATGGATAAACCTTTATCTACTTCACTGGGAATGTGTCTAAATTAAGCCAGTATGTTATATTCTCTACAGCTTGGGGAAAGGGTATGTCCTAATAGAAAAGAAACATAGCCAAGTACTCTGCCTTTCTGCGTCTGTTGCAGTGTGATAACTGTGGTGTAGAGCCTATCCAGGGTGTCCGGTGGCACTGCCAGGATTGTCCTCCAGAAATGTCTTTGGATTTCTGTGATTCTTGTTCAGAGTGGTAAGTGTTTTTTTATTTGGGGACAAGAACCTCAAGCAGTGAACTTACTTCCAAACTTCTTCAGAGTGTAACTAACTACTCTTTTACGGTTTAGATTTTATTCTAAGCAATTAAAATTTTCCTTTAATCACATCAGATCTCAGCAGCTTTCTATTAGAGCTTTCCAAGGGGTCAGTTTAACTGAGAAGAGTTTGTGACAGGTAGATTGGAGTGCATCTGGAGTCATGTGATAATGAGTCTGTCTCTGTCTTTTCTCCTTGCAGCCCACATGAAACAGATATTCACAAGGAAGATCACCAGTTAGAACCTGTGTATAAGTCAGAGACATTCTTAGACAGAGACTACTGTGTGTCCCAGGGCACTAGTTATAGTTATCTTGACCCCAACTACTTCCCAGCCAACAGATGACATGGAAGAGAGAGTCAGCACTAGTCTCGTCAACACAGCAATGGCCTCATTGTTGATGGTGTGCGCAGTTTGGACACTCACAGCATGAGAGCTCCCCGAGTGTTCTCGTCAAGTACAGCTCTGCACCGTGTGGCTGTAGATCAGCAGCTAAACATTCCTGGTGAGCTGAGAGTTTCCCTGGTGAAATTTTCACCGCCACTCTAAAGCCATGTAGGTGGTGATCTTAAATGGGTGAGATGGGATGGAGAACACGCATTCATGCGAGAGTAAATTCCAAAGGTTTCAAAGACCTCAGTCATAATATGATGGTGAAAGACAAAGTATTTCTATTAAATCAGTTCAGTAGCTTTCAGTTTTGTGAAAATAGTTGTCAGCGCAGAAACTGACTTATAGACGAAGTTTTAACCAATGATGGTGTTTGCTTCTAGGATGTGTACTCTAAGAGAACTCACTGTCCGGTGGTCACTGAGGGCCTTTAGTAGACTGGAGCTGCTTAACGGTTTGATACCTAACTTTTAATCACGATGAACTGTCCTTACCAAGAGCAAGGCATGAGGTAGCTGTGCTTTGCTTCTGTAACCAGCTCATGGGGTGTGGATGTCATGAAGTTGTCACGCAGATATATTTTTTAAATGTTATGTTATATAAGATGATCATGTGATGTGTACAGACTATGGTGAAAAGTGCCAGTGGTAGTGACTGTGTAAAGTCTGATTCACAACATTAATCCCTTTAAAATACACAGCCTTCTGCCTCTGTGTTTGGGGTTGTCAGTACAACTCGTCAAAGAAAACTGCCTAATATAAAATCATATATATGGTGATAATTTTTCCCTCTTTTGTAGTCTGCACAAGATCCATAAAAGATTGTATTTTTATTACTATTTAATGAGTGATTAAATGTAGTCTGCACAGTGAGCAAGAGTTCACACGCATTCTTTTATACTGCTGGATTTTGTTGTGCATCATTTAAAACGTTTTGTATGTTTCTTATCTGTGTATACAGTATGTTCTTGAATAATGTTCATTTGTCGGGAGAACTGTGAGAAATAAACTATGTGGATATGTTTGTTTATATTATAGAATGCTTGTTGTGGCTTCCTTTTTCAACAAGTTTTAAAACTAGAATTTATCACTTCAAAGTCTGTTTTTCATCTGTATTTGCTTTCTGTTCTTTATAAAGGGTGAAGAATGTATTAAGGAAAAGAGCGTGAGCTTGCAACCTGCTAGAGGTGTTAGTGTTCTCACCCAGCGTGCTGAAACACTGCACAGCAGAGGTGCTCACTAATATCCAGATGTGGAACCTAAGTATCAGTTAGAAATTCTACTCGAGTAGTTTATACTGACAAAATTAAGTCCCCATGTATAGAAACAGGTGATTTCCGAAAATTATCAACTAGGAAAAGACAGTATGTTCTATAGTGGATTAAGTAAGTATTATACTAGTCTTGTTTTTAACATTGTTTTTCCTGTTTTTAAGTTCAGGGAACATTATTTACTAATTCTTTTTAATACTTGGCAAGGTATTAAAATCTACCCTGAATTTTTTAATTAAGAAAAATATAGAATTTTAAATATGGAAATGAGAAGTTTAAATAATATATTGATTATGTATCACTGGTCATATTGATGCAGTCTATTGTACTCAGAAAGAAAAGTTGACAGGCTTTTATCTCTGAGTCATTAGTGAAGGAGAGACAGTTAAAATAGGTGTCTCTATATCTCCTGTGTGTTCAGCGCACATGTCAGAGGACTGCCTTCCATCCGTCTGTACAGAAATAGTGCCAGATGGTTTTGAGAGCAGTTCATATCTATCCAGAAATCCCATAAAGCTTGACCCACACCTTAGAAGGGGATATGAGTGATAGGGCTGTAATAACATCAGCAGAGTAGACAGTTTTAAGACCGAGGTAGTGATGTGGTTTTTTCCTGTTTGAACAGAAGATGTATGTATTTTGGATTTTTCCGCTCTAAGCACATCACCCCTGTGGCTTGGTGGGAATGCTTTCTTGTGTTTATTTGAGGTTTGCAGAAGTGGGCAGTGCTCTTCTTGGTGAGCAGACATTCCATCTGTCTATAAGGAATACTGACTGCCGACAGCCAGCTGAGAGTTGTGCTTGAGAAGCAGTGTTGTCAAGTGTCTCAGTAGGTCAGGTTTACCTCATGGCATATGATGCTCAAGGTGTTTGCTACTAATTGCACACCAGAAACCATTGCTCTGATGTTAGGGAGAGGCACCAATAGCAGTGCTGGTACAGCACTTACTGTGCCCAAAGCCAGTGTGTGGCGGCTCATTGGAGTCACAACCCAGTGAGGCAGGTTCAGTGATGACTCTGTTTTTGTGGGAGACCTAGCCAGAAAGAAATGAAAGGCCTCACCTAAGGGTCGTATTGTTAGTGAAGTGATGAGATTTGTCTTTAAGATTTAGCCCTGTGTTAGGCTTGGTTTCCCAAGCAGGAACACCCCCACTGTCAGGTACTCTGTGTTTTCCATGCCTGAGTACAGACCTGGGCCATGGCCGCATTCGGAACACGAGAGAGAGGCCTGTGTGTGGCTGGAGAGTGCACCAGAGTACTCCTCCATTGTGACTCACAGGAGTACACATGCATCTCCATTGCCTCCCACCCAGCCCCATAGTGTTCCTTGACTTCTCCTTTTCACTTACAGTGAATCACAGAACACAGTTGACTGAGGTATGAGGAACAGTTTTAAAGGTTGGCAGAAAGTGGCATACCGCTGTAATAGATAAGTCTTGTTTTGTGAACTTTCCCAGACAGCCTTGTGAGATAGAATGAACGTTCTTACTGTGGATAGCCAAGTTTAAACCCATTGTTGTGGGTGCACTGGAGGGAACAAGCGTCTCCAGTGCATTGTCCTTTGTAAGCTCTAAGGCTTTGGTTTTCCGTGGAAGAGTTACTACTGCTGTTCATAGGACCTCAGAGAAAACCCAAACCCACTGCTTTGCTTGCAGGGCTTATGTACCTGTGAAATGGATTGGTTTCTAGAGGTGTGTCACATGGAGCTTCTTGAGAACACAGTCCATGTGTGTGTCTCTAGGCTCTGACATTTTAACAGATTCTCTACAAGTATTTGTTGGTTATGTGACCCAGTGTTTTAGAAAGTTGCACTCTTCTTTCTTTAGAAGGTAGTGGGGCCCAGTACATGAGGTGCCAGTAACTCTTCGAAAGCCAGTCTCAGGAGGTCCTTTGACGTGCCCTAGAGGACAGCCTCTGCATCCACCTTGTAGGCTGTAGTTCAGCCAGTCAGATCATTCATCGTGGGTGTGACTCTCAGGTTTGCAGTGACATTTTGGGTCTTAGTCACAGTTGGGGAAGTGGAGTACCTGTGATTGAGTTGTAGGGACGATATTAACTGCATGTAATGGAAAATGGAAGGCCCTGAGAAATAAAACCTGTTAGTTCTCAGCATAACAAATGTGTTGGGGGACTCCTGCAATAGGAAATCCAGGCCTTTGTGGAGCTTATAGACTAACACAGAAGACAACAATATGCAAATAAACTTAAATATCCCTAAATTAAATAAAAGTAATATTTGAAGAAAAATAATAGGACTGTGAAGAGCATTGGCATTTTAGGTTGAATGGGCTGAGAAACGCTTCATTGGCAAGGGTAATTATTAGTTTGGCGTATGGGAACTAACTGTGTGGATCAGCTGTAGGGAAAGGCAAGAGGCTGACAGTGGTAAGGGCCCAGAGTCAGTGAAGAACTTGGTTTGCTCGGGCAGCTTTGAAGACAGGCAGTGTGGCTTGAGCCAGATGTATGAGAGGGAGGGTCCAGTTGATGGTGTCAAGGAGGGCACAGGACCAGTTCAGGTATATCCTTGAACATAGGTCATAGCCAGGGAGTTTACATTTGTGTTCTGAAGTTGTCCACGTACATGTTCAACCTCATACTAGGCAGAAAGTGTTAAGGTTCTTTCATGTTTTAAAATCCTATGACTTTAACATAGTGATGTCACTTGGAACCATTCACAAGAGCAATGTGTGTTTTAGCTGTTCTTTGGAAAACTGATTTGCATTCCCAGGTACTGATTTCTGTTGGAGTTTTCCAGAGTAGCTGCCAACTACCCTATGGAACCCCGGGCTGGCTTGCCTGTGCGTCTGCTGCCTCGTTTCCTCACCCAGAGCTGTGGGCATAGTGTTTGCCAGTGTGTGTTTTGTGTGGGGTCACTTGTTAAAGTGTTTACCCTGTAGCAGCACTTTCCATCTGTGCTCAGATATTCATGTCCCCTGTCAAGAGTGTGACAGCTTGGGGCAATGTAAGCAGTTGACAGCTGTGTGAATTTGGGAACATGATGCACCCTTTCTGGTAATAGAGGCCTAATTGTAACCAAAGAAACTTAATTTCTTGTCTAGCACACACTGACATTTCTGTTTAGGAACCAGTGCTAGGGGAAAAGAAATATGAAAATGACCATGTATCATGAATATATTAACAATTTCTCTGTAATAGCTCAGATCTGGTCTGTGGCCAAAGTTCAAACCATATAAGTGGATCATAATTTAAACTTCGACTGTGTTTGCTTCTGTTTGGATGAAAGCTTTCAGAGGCTTTCCAGAGTGATGTGAGTTACAAATAAATAGAGAAAGAGTTATCCTGGCTTCCATTTATTTCATTTCTACATAACTGTTTTGAGGAAAAAATGATTTTAAAAATACAGTTCTGTCCTGGAAACATCTCTGTATTTGCACACTCATTGAGGAAAAGAATCATGCAAACCGAACTGCGTGTTATGTAGTGATAGAGTGCAAGATGCAGGTATTTCAGAAGATGGCAGCAGCTTCAGTCCAACAGCTCAGCACAAAAGACCCACACTTCACTGGTGTGATGCAAGTGTTTCCCCAGGGAGCAGCCCATGAAGAGCGTGCGACACAGGACACAGCGCAGGACACCCACACACGAGCCTGTCCCCGGCACGGTTAGGATACTGTTCCTTTCTTTTGACTTGGCAATATGTCGGGGAGTAGTCATCTCAGATCAGAACTACAAGATGGTTTTGTCCAGTGAGTGAAGTAACAATCACCTCTCCTACTTTTTAGTTACTTCCGGTCTCTGATATTAATTTATGGAATTGCTGAGACGTACCACCACATGGAGAGTGGCTTGTACAGTTGCTCAGATGTGTTAGCTTTTATTACACTGTTCCATGTAGCTTCCCAAAAATGGATAGTACTGATTGCCCTGTTGTTTTCCCTTAGAGAAGCTGGACAGTGTCTTATTTTGAAACATTTCTGTCAAGTACTACTGGTGTGGTGCCTCTGCACCACAGGGCAGTTAAAGGTTCCACCAGAGCTCTGGACCCTTCATGGGTGGAACTGGAGAAGCAGAGCCAGTACAGGATGACGTGTCCAAGCTTGCCCCCATGCTAAGGACCCATATCCGGGAGGAACAAATGGGTGAGAAGGAAACAGATATGTTCTCCCTGTGTGATGGATCAGACTCCAGCTGGCCCTGGGGCACACCTAGCACAAACAGATCCCACACTGCTCTTCCCATCCTGACTTTGCTCTGAGGTACAGCCTGGTGACAGAAAAACAAGTGTACCATACCAAAGGGGATGGTTGTCTACAGGAGAAAGAGGTGGAAGGTCCCAGAGATACCATGCATGGCTTCCGGATAACTCCCGCGAGTTGAGCTGGGAAGGAAACAGCCTGCTGGGATGGTGAGGACAAAGAGAAGTGTGTTCATGAAGGGGTGAATTTCATGTTTTTCTGTCTCTACTTTCCTTAGCAGTTGCGTATTTTCTCCTTCAGAAAACAGAGTCAATAGCTGTGCAGAGCTGAAGAAAAACCTGATCAGGTGTTCCCTCTGCGTTGACCTGTATTTGAAAGGAAGAGAGAGTTGTTAACCCTCTGGCCTGCTTGTAAATGCCAGTTTTTAAAATAATGAAACAAGATTACGTGCTTTTGCTCAGCAGACTTAAAACATAGTGCCCACCCCCTAAACCCACAGAGACTGGAGTGGAAAGGATCGCTTGAATCAAAAGTGCCTTTGTGGGGGCTCATACATTTAGTCGCAACACTCAGGATGCAAGGAGGGGGATCTCTGAGTTCAAGACCAGCCTGGTCCACATCGGGCTCTAAGCCTGCCAAGGCTACAGAGTCTCCAAAATAAATACAGTTATATCCCTAGATTAAAATGAAAGAACATCGCTACACATTTATTAGAATGTGCCAAACACCAAATGCTGCCTAGGATGTGAAGCAACCAGAACTCTTCTTGATTGCTGACAAGAGTGAACAATGGTACAGCCACTTGAAAGGCACTGCATTTCCTTTACCCCTCCAGCAGCTTTATTCCGCACTGAGCCCAAGTACCCCAAACCTGCATGTGCGTGTTTACAACAGCATCCTCCATGACTGACAAAACTTGGTAACTGACAAGTTACCAAGCTGTCTCTTAGTATTTACACAGGTAAATAGTGACCTCCGAACAGTGGTGGTCACTCAGCACTAAAGTGAAATGAGCTATAATAAAGACATGAGATTTACATGCAGAAGCCAGTCTGAAAGGGGCACATACTGTGTAGTCTAGCCATGACAGTGAAAGGAGCAGTTACAGCAGGTGGGAGAGGGTTAAGGAGGAGGAATCAGTGTAGTTGCTTCACATTACAGAGTGGTCCAAACACATACAATGTATAACACCAAGGCATCGATGTCAGCCGTGGCCTTTGGGTGAGGAGTATAGGTTTCATCTGTTGTGGCAAACGGATGACTGTTGATAGTTGACGTGATTGTATTTGAAGAAGGGGTATCTGGGAACTCTTCTTATCTGTGAACCTAAAAGTACTCTAAAGCAGAAAGTCCATCCAAACAGCAAACAGGGCTGTGCTCAAAGTATTGTTAGAACTCAGTGGACATTTTGGTGTTACCATGCATTAAATCACTTAGAGCACGGTGGGAATATAGCCCTGATTAGAGGGTGCAGGAGCAGGGGTATGGAGAAGAAAGCAAAGCCTGGACCCACAGTGTGCAGGTAGACTAAGGGTAGAGTTGTTGAAGACAGGTGATACACCAGTAGAGGAAGTCAGCAACAGATGGGGGTAGGGAGATTTCCTGGACATCAGCCAGCCACTGGGGATTATACACACACGCTCTTCTTCAGAAGGCAGAGGCCTGATGACCAGAAGCTCTATAGAGGCCAGAGAAATGCTGGTAGCATTCCTTAGACATAGTCTTGCTTACCTTAGGAAAAGTGATGAGGGGCATTACTGCCTAAAGAGGGGCTGACCTGCCCAGCTGCCATCCTTGATGGAACTGCACATAGGTCAATGAGCAGACAGGTAACAGAAGCCGTAGCTAATGGTGTCCTCTGGGCTGTGGAGCTCTAAGAAAGGAAGGTTTCCAAAGGCTGCTGTGGCCAAACTTTTAAATAACTTTAAAAAGGTGAAATAGTCCAGAAGAGTTGGGGGGATTGTGGCAGGAAGGCAGGGTGTCCTGATGGCTTGAAGCCATGTGGTTTCATTAGCAGAAGGCAGAGGCCTGGTGCTGATGATCCCTGCAGCTGGCTGGGGTGGTAGTGTGCTGGCTGAAGCAAGAGGCCCTGTGAGCAGCCCAAGCTGCCAGCTCCCTTGCCAGAGGCTCTGGGCACAGTCGACACATTTTTCAGATGATTTTACCATATGCTAATTGTACTGAATAATGGGTTTCATCATGGTGTCTTCATAATTGCATATAGCATATCTCAATCACAGATAACTCTCTCTGCTCTCATCCTGTCTCCCACTGGCCCTTCTGTCTTCCAAATAATAACCCCTTTTTAATGTCTTATTTTTAGAATCTTGATTCTGCATACAAGAGAAAACATACAACATTTGCTTTTTCTGAGTATTTACCTAACCTCTCCAGTTCTTTCATTTCCCTGCATACAAGTGATGTTTTTCTTTTTATGCTTGAATAAACTACACTTTATTTACCAATCCTTTGATGGGCTTCTGAGTTGACCCCACACTTGAAGATTATGGACAGCACTGTAGGGAGCATGGATGTGCAGGAGACAATTTTGCTGAGGGCTGTTTGAGGAACAATTTTTTTTTTTTTAATTCTTGTTACCTACCTACAGTCATTGCAATTTTGCAGCTAGGAATCAATTTTTACATGTTTAAACACTCCAAAGAACTATATCTAGCAATATTTTTATTTATTAAATTTCATTTCTCTTTTCCACTTTTTTTTTTTAAGACAAAAGTCTCGTATTCCACGCTGGCCTCAAACTCATTATGTAACAGAAGGTCCTGCCCCCACCCTCAAGTGCTGGGGTAACAGAGATCCATATTCAGTTTACACAGTGCTGGGGATTCTGGTCATATAGAGATGATCAAAAGCAAAGCTAGGTTATATTGATCTGTACATAGGTGATCAAACCATAAAGATAGATGACTCATAAGAGCCAGGGATTATGGTTGGTTCTTGTGGAGAAGAATGTGACCCAAGGAGACAGTGTGGCATGGGAGTGGGGCTTCTGAGAATGTTTCTTGGCCTGTTTGGTGGTTAAGGGAGAGTGTCCATGTTACTCTTGAAAGTGTACGTATTTTAAAAGTCCCTTTAGGATCCTCAATTGAAGTACTCTATACCAGTGCACATCCTCTGAGCTAGAGGCTCTGCCTCTGTCCCAGGGGGTGTGTGCTTAGGTCCCTCACAACACCCAGCTTCCTCTTTGCCAAACTCCACAGTGAGGTACCAAGCTGCCAAGAGACAACTGCAGTTCTGCAAGAGCATGAGGCCCGTTGGCAGACAAGTTCCACAAGAGTTCACACTGTTAGGCAAGCGCAGGCTGTGGATTAGGCACATCTCACACAACCCTGGGAGAGCAGACACGTCCTGAGAATGATAAAGGTGGCTAGTAACGACATGTGTGATGCTTAAGTAATAAGTAATAACAGTGACCTGAAGGACAGGTGACTCATGTTGTTCACCTAGCCAAGGAAATGACGGGTTGGGTCAGACCACAAAACTAAAGGTTAGTACTTGTTAACTACGTCATTATTGACCAGCTAGTTTTAAATGGCTGGCTGGTTGGACATGGGTCAAGAAGTGATGGGGGATGGGAAGTGGCGAGTTAACCACCGGTGATGTGTGCACCTGTTCTATGAAAACCACGAGGCACAGAAGGCTCCAGGAACACACAAGGTGGTGGAGCTTCACAAAGCACTGCAACAGCTGAGTAAAGCAGAATCCTGCACCAGCAGTGACAGTACCTAGTCACATCCCCAAGCTGCTGTCCCCAGTACACCTCGGCTCCGACTAGGCCCTGGGCTCTTGGACCTGTTTCTGATGTTACATGGGAGTGAACTACAGCCAGGCACACTTGGCTTTTGCTCAGATGCTCTCTAATAGTCAAGTGTGAGTTCACTTTTTTTTTTTTAAAAAAAGGGTCTCACTATGTCAATTTAGGTGACCTGAAACTAACTATGTAGACCAGACTGGCCTCTACCTCCCTGTGTGATGGGATTAAAAGTGTTTACCACCAGGCATCTGTCTTTAAAAACAAAACAAAAACAAAAAACATTGGGTGTGTGTGTTGGGTGCAGATGGGTGTGGTGTGCATACCACCCCTGTGTTCCTGCAGGAACCAAGTACTGGAATTGAGGTTTGT